TCCTTTATAAAGTGATAACAAAATAAACTGGTATTGGGTGGGGAGTTTGTTGTTACTCAAAAAAAAAAAAAAAAAAAAGTTGATACCTTATTTTAAATGTCTGCCTTTGTTTTAAAATGCTGCTGAACTGAAAAGTCCAAAAGTCTGAGAACCATGGCCTTAAAGGACAGTTAGGATTTTAAAAGATGGAGTTCCAGACTGGGCTGGTAGTCAAAACAAAGCTGTAGAAAAAGGAAGGTGTAAGGAGTTTTTAGGAGTGTGCAGACCAGTCTTGCTAAAACAAAGTGTGCTTGAAAAAGAGCAGTCAGAAGTTTTGGTCTTATAAATATTTAGTACCTGATTGTGTTCTGCTCATGGGAGACACTCAATAAATATTTGTTCATCGAGTGTAGTGCAAGTTCAAGTCAGATTCACAAGAACCAGAAAATAAAATTTGTACTTCATTTTATAGACCAGAGCTTCCTAACAAGGTGTGCCAGGAATGGGTGTTTACTGTGCTAAGCTACTGATCCCTTCACCCTTCAAGGGAATCAGGCAACAGCCAGTGCACCTGGTCAGCTTCAGCCCAAGTGTTTTCTAATACACATATATAACAATTATTTTTAGATTCCATGTATTTTAGTCTGTTCCCTGTTACTTAATAATTGAATATCTGAAACAGGACAATTTATAAGAATAAAGGTTTATTTAGCTTGTACATTTTTGGAGGCCCAGGGTCAAGGGGCCACATTTGGAGAGGGTCTTCTTATGGTTGGAACTCCCTGAAGAGTCCTAAGGCAGTGCAGGGTAGCACCAGACAATACAGAGCAAAACTGCACAAGTCTGTGTCTCTATCTCATTCCCTCTCCTTAGAAAGCCACCAGGACTCAATCACAGGGCCCCACCCTACTGGAATTCCTACTTTATCTAATCCTAACCACCTCCCAAAGTCCTTCCCCTTTCAACACCATCATCAGAGTAAGTCTCCACCCTCTCAACACCGTTATAATGGCTCACGAGATTTCAGAACACGAATTTGAGGGAGACACATTCAAACCATTGCATCATGGGTAGAAAAGGGTGGAAAACAATGGGAAGCCACTACCAAGAACTGAGCACTGGGAATATAAGAGGACAGTAATATTTCCAGAAAGAATATGATATGGTTTGAATGTCTGTGTGCCCCCAAATTCATAAATTGAAATCCTAACCCTCAAGGTGATGGCATAGAAGGTTGGGCCTTTGGGAAGGTGACTAAGTCATGAATGAGATTAGTGCCCTTATAAGAGAGGCCCAAGAGAACTCATTCACCCTTTCCACCATGTGAGGACACAGCCACAAGGAGCCATCTGGAAGAAAGTAGTCCTCTGCTTAGCACTTTGATCTTGGACTTCCCTCGAACTTTGAGAAATAAATTCCTGTTATTTAAAAGCTACACAGCTTATGATATTTTGTTATAGCTATCAGAACAGTCTAAGACAACTATGAACCTGGTGGCAGAGTAAAAGGTGGATCCCAGGCTTAAAACTAGAATCATCAAGGCCGGTAGGTGTTATGGTGGTTTAGGGTGCTAGACTCCCACATGGCTGACCATGGTTCGAGTCCTGGACCTAGCAGCTTGCTTTCTCACTTTCTCTCTCTCTTTCTCTCTTGCTCTGTCCCTCTCTGGTCAAATTTAAATGAATGAAACAATTAATTAATTACAGTTCAATAAAATAATTCTTAAAGAAAAAAACCTAGAATCATCAGGGAAAAAGGTTCCAAGGGATATACAACAGATTCCACAAATCTCTTTCTTCTCTACTGCTTTCCCCCCTTTTAAAATAATACCCTGAAATTTTTTCATAAAATGGTCTGGGTGGAACTGACTGTACCCCATATCCATAGGTAAGCCCTGCTTGGCTAACCCGATCAGCATGTCTTTTCCCCCCAGACACCTCAGAGTCTGGTTCAGGGATGGGCACATAATCCAGTCTGGGTTTTGTTTTTGTTTTGTAATGATCCTTAAGGTAAAGATTCTTTTATTTCTCTCCGAAGTTGACCCAGGAAGCATGTACTCCTGAGGGCTGTTGGCAGCCACCTTTGGACTATGAGGGGAAAGTCTGAATGAGAACAGAGGAAGTGGAGAGAAGTAGTGAAAGAGAAAGTAGGTCCTGGCCCTGGCATGTAAACACTAGACTGAGGCTCACTTGAAGTCCTACTACTGATGTCCAGCTACTGATTAAATTCTTGTTTCTGCTTAAGTCAGTTCAGGTCTTGTTTTGGTTTGTTTTTCACTAGCAACTGAAAGATTACTGACACACAAGGTTAAAGTGGCTCTCTAAGTAAGAGAGAACCAAGTAGGCGTTTGTCGTAATCTAGCACTTCAGATAAAGGGTAGCTGTTTACTAGGCGTTTGTCGTAATCTAGCACTTCAGATAGCTGTTTAAAAAAATGAAAAAGAGGGTCTAGCTATTGAGGGGTGAGGGTGGCATTGGGAATGAAAAGGAAAGGCTGGTCCTGAAGTCCTGCATGAAAGAAGTACACACCAGAGTGGTTTCTGTGGTGCCCCTGCCTTGCCTAATACTGCTGCCTTCTCCTCAGGGATGGTGCAAGCCCCAACCCACCCCCAGAGCAATGATGCAACAGTCACTAGACGTGGCTGTTTCAGGATTAGCAAGTCTGAGAAAGGGAAAGGGTTGCTAGAGCAGGTAGGAGGGACAAACACAGAGTGTAAAAATTGGGGGTGGGAATTGCAAAAGGCTTTGTTTTTCTAATTATTGAAGTAAAAAGAGGAGTGGGTAGACACCTAGAGAATAGGAAGGCAGTGGTTGCTAAGAGAGTTGCTAAGAGTAAGCAAAGAGTTGGTTTCCTGAGACCGAACCCATCCCTCTTACAGAAGCCATGAATGGCTATCCAGCTGCCTTAATTCTCTGTGCTCCCTTGTCTTGCCTGCAGACCTGTGACAGTGTCACCTTAAAGAATAACCGTGAAACTCCAACAATGTAGAACCGGGAAGTGCCGGGTGGGGCATCTGGGAGCAGTAAGCATTTATTTGTGGTTATCTTGTAAGAATAAGAAATGGGTGGGCACAGGAGGCCAGGAAGGGATGAAAGTAAACCATGGCTTTACTTAGATCCTGACCGACCTGGGTCCCACGAAGTGAGGATTCACTTTGTGTAGAAATAGCAGTGAGGGAAATCAAAAGAAAAGATCACGCATCCTCTGAAAGACATGCTTTTGAGAAATGCCGGGACATCTCCTTAATTTCCTCTGCGCTGGGCTCTTCTCTGATAGAGCCATGTAGTAACTGAATCTGGCTGACAAATACTGGTGAACTTTCAACACGAGGTGTGGGGATCACTTAATAGAACGAGGTATTCGATCGAAAAAGCGCCGGAGCCCGATTCGCGTGGCAGTGCGTGGCTTTACCTCCTGCGAACTCCGACTCGACTGCCCTGTGCTCACCCCCGCGCAGAGGCCGAGATGAGCCCGAGGTGACCATAGCGGTCGCTTTTGTTCAGCCTTGAAGCCTTCGCCGCAGGAGACCGCCTGGCAGTCGGGCTGGGACTGGGTGAGGGGAGTAAATGGAAGAAAAAAGAAAGAGCGGGCAGAAAGCCCTTGGGACCAGGAAAGAGAGAGGGGGTTTCGGTCTGGTGGTGGCACCTGGTGCCGTTATTAATAAGCAATAGGGTTGTCTCGCATGTATCAGGCACTTTATTTTAACAATGTCATCGCCCCCACAAGTTACTCTATGAACGGTAACGACAAAGAACAATAGCCGCAGGCCTGCATTATCTCCTTTAATCTTCTCAACATCCGCTAAGTGCGTCTTACAAGGAAAGTGTGGCTCGGAGCGGTCAAGCACTTCGGTCACCTGACCCCGGAGCTCCAGATTCGGGCGGAGCGGTGGCCGAGACCCCTCCGCGAGCTGCACAGTCCCC